TCTGGTCGACTCTCATAGGTGATCTTCGGGCGTTTCAGGAGTGAAGGCTCACTTCCAGACTCCATCACCCCCGCATCCTTTGAGCTTCTCTGGTCCATTTTTGGAGTTTCCTCTGTTGGTTCTTTCGATTCCAACCGTTGTCGTTGAGCTTTCAACCAATCATCATACCGTTTTCGGCATTCAGCATTGTGGTTGGCTTTTCCTCTTTTTGGACCACACGCAGGACAGTTCGCTGTGCCACCATGTTCCTTCACCCATGCAGCTGGAGGTCCAACTTTGCTCATGTCGGTGGTCGGTCCCTCAGACACTCGGCCCTCAAAGGCCTTGTCCGCTTCACCTTCAATCCGATCGGGCACACCATCCTCTTTCTCCTTCAGAATCGGGGGAGCCAATGTATCCGATGGATCATGCTCCTTGAGCAAATGTTGACAATGCTCCAACCCAATCTTCAACGGAACGATGTGCTTGATGGACTTTGCTCGAAAGTGTTTTGGACAACCATCCACCATGGCACTCACAACATGAGTCAAGCCACCAACTTCAGGGTACACATAGGCTGCTTCCACAAACCGGGAGAGCGCCGTGGTTTTCATCGAATCCGGTAGCTCAGCCAGAACTGTAGCACCTATCAACGACGATCCACACTCATGGAGGGATCTCTGTAGTACCAACTCCTGGGGTGATTTCTTCCCATCAAAGGCAGCTGCATGGTGATTGTGCATTGCAGCACAGTAAATCAGACCAAACTCAAACGCTCGAGGACTTCTTTTCAAGTCAAAGCCCTGCGCTCGTAGATCCAACCTCACCGTGCTGAACAACTCCTTGAGTGTTCTCACTGCCCTTTCCACACCACCAACCGCTTCATGTCCCTGCGGAGGTGCTCTTTGGGTCACAATCCTAATCCCCAGATTGGCTCTCTTGATGAGGGCGCTCACCGCTGTCTCGCTGTCTGTCCTCAACAGTACAGCAGACCCTGCAATGTCCAGTCCGAAAGCATTCATCCAATAACGAATCCAGCTGGAGGTATTGTCAGCATTGGTCCCTACCAACAGACATCCAATCATTCTGGTTGACATTTCAGTCATGACCAGTACTTTCATGTTGGGAGCCGTCGGCTGGTCTTTCGCAAAAGTACCAGTTACCAGGTTGATGAAGCAGAAATCTGCTTGCAACGCCACGGGTCGGTCTTGAGCATCCTTGGTCCGACGATGCTGGGTTGTTCCTCTTGTCATCCGACAATGAGGACATTCGGACGAAAAAGGAATGTGGCCTCGCATCCGATGCAGCTCCATTTCTTCTTGCTTTTTCTTGGTCATTGACTGCACTGACTGCATCTGATCAACCTCCATCGGTCGTTGGCCATCATCCACATCCATGGGTCGAACCTCAGTTCTTCCAAAGGTTACTTTCTTTCGCTTTCCAGCATCACCTTGCAGGTAGATCCAAGGACATCCAGCCCAGGATACTCCATATCCCATGACTCCTTTCTTCTCGTGTCGCAGCGAAATCTCTCTTCGAGTGAACTTCACTTCCCAACCAGTATTCACCATCTGCTCGGTGCTCAAGATGTTGTGAGCCACATCTGCTACAACTCCAGTCACACACACCGATGTCAAACCAAGATACTGCTTTCCTTCATACATAGGCAGCAAGGCTCGGATGCGAACTCGCTCGAAGACATTCACCGGGGTATCGTTGGCTGCTGAGTACCTCTCATTAGGTCCCAACGCCTTCCGATCCAAGATCTGGAACTCATCCAAGTATCTTTTCGCAATCACAGTCACCGATGCTCCTGAGTCAATCAACCACCATTTGCTTGCATCATCCTTTTCCATGCTTTTGACTTGATTCATCGGAGGTTTCATCAAAGACCGAACTGACTTAGATGGCAACATCTGAGATAAATCGGTAGAGATCCGATGCTCCAACTCGGCAATCCGGACTCTCGTCTCAACTTCCCATGACCAATCTATCTCATCAGTACTCCGGGGAATCCACTCTTTTCTCACTTCATCGAGCAATCCTTCCAGAGGTTGCAACACAGATTCCACTCGGGCCTCTGACTCAGGTTCATTCCATTCACCTCCAGTTAGCTGGTAGTCACTCGACTCACCCTCTTGGGAGACTTCAGCAACTGTCTTCCCCTTTCCTTTGCCTTTTCCTTTGGGCTTTCCCTTTTCGGGCTTCTTCTTGGGATCTCCTTTTGCCTTGGCTTTCGCCTTAGCATTGGGGGAATTGGGCTTCTTGCCTGAATCTCCCTCCTTATACCAGCAATCGCGGGCATAATGTCCCTTTCCACCACACACATAGCACTCCACATCCTTCTTGTTCTGGCTTGAAGCTCGTTTGCCAGCACCTTTGCTTGATTCGCGCTTGCCTTTCTGTTCCTTTCCTTTGCCTTTTGGTTTTCCTTCGTTGCCCTTTCCCTCATTGGGATCTCGAAAAGGTTGAAGCTTCGTGCCAGGGGCTTCTGACCACACCCTTTGTTGCACCTCAAACTTCAGAGCAACTCTTTTCAGATCTTCAAACGATTCACTATCGCCATGCAACAAGCAATGGCTTCTACACCGATCTGGCAAACTGCGCAGCAAAACCATAACCGAATCCGCTTCTTGGATCTGCAAACCACCAGCATGCACATCGGGATCAAGACTATTGAGCAGCTTGGTGTACTTGTTCAACTCATGCTCAATCTTTCGAATGATCTCCGGAATACTGGGTGCTTTCACGGTTTGATTCACCAGCTGCGACCGAAAGAACAGGCATTCAGCTCGCGACTTCAGGCAAAACTCCTTCGCCAGCAATCTCAAAGCCACAAAACCAGATTGTTGATAAGTGCTCTCACTTTCAACATATGTCTGCAAAATCAGAGAACTCTTCTCATGATTTGCAAAAGTCTGTCGCAGGATGTGCATCAGCCTCGTCGACCTCTTCTGTTGCTCCACAGTAAGTCGATCCTGTTTCAGCCGAGACTCTTCTTGAGTCTTCACCGCATGCATGAGCTCATTGGGAAACACTTCTGAACCCAAACCAACCCAACTGGTCAGCTTCTCCATCCAGGTCAAGAATCCAAGAGCTTCAGAGATGCGATCCTTCCAAGACGAAAAGTCAATGGTCGGCAAACTGGGCAACCATTTGTCCGATCGAGCAAACACATCCCTTTCCCTTTCTTGCTCCAGAGGTGGAGGTCTCAGTGGGGGACTTGGGCTCGCCATCCGAAAAAGCTGGGTCCCCTTCGCAGGAGTACCCACTGGCGATGCACCTTGACATCCCGAAGAAGAACTGGGCATGTTCTCAGGAACACCATCCTGAGGTAAGGGGGGATTCACCTGTTGCTGTTGCTGTGGCTGCTGTTGCTGATGCTGCTGTATCATCCACTGCTGATGCTGCTGCTGTTGCTGCACCATGGACGAAGTCATCGTTTGCATAAACTGCTGTTGCTGCACAACCAGTTGCTGCATCATGCTTTCCAATTCTCGCACTTGTCTCGTCAACCCTTGCACGTCGGGTGATGTTTGTGATGGTGTCACCACAGGTTGAGGAGGTCCAGTGGATAGTCCTGGTGGTAACGAAGGACTTCCTACCGCTTGCTGAGGCAAACCAGGGGGAAACGAAGGGCCTCCCATTGTCTGTTGGGGTGCTCCAGTAGCTACCCCATGAGGGCTTCTGGCGGGAGTTCGACCTCTGGGCACTGGGCCATACACAGGTTGGCTTCCTTGTGCCAAACCTTGCACCCACAGTGGGTTGGGATTTCCCAAACCCGGAAAAGGGTCTACCCTTCGCCTTGTCTCAGCATCCATGATGGGCACAGAGCTTCCACGCTCTCGTCCACCTCTTGGACTCCTCACATGAGCTCCACTGGTATGTCGTGGGGATGTATTCAACATAGTTCCTGAACTCAGGCTCCAGCCTGCAGTCTCTCCACAACGTCTTCTGGCGAAAATTCTCTCACCAACACCAGATGGTCCAGGCTCCTGAAGAACCTTAGTTCTACTCTACCAAGCACCGTATTCCTCCAAGATCGGTCACAACCAATCCAGTTCCAGACAAACCACCTTGCCCGGGCTCCAAAGTGCCTCAACAGCCGCTGAACCAACTGATTCCAAGCCTGATGAGTCCGGATCCGCCTCCTCACAGGATAGGCTTCCCGGTACTCACTTACACGGTCCGAGTACAAGAGATTCCGGTCCACTGGCAGTCTGGGCTCCAAACCCAAACTTGCCTCCAGGCACTCACAGAGTCCTGACAGACAACCAAAGACCATACACGGGCTCGTACCACAAGGCACAAGCTCCGCTACCACGTGAAAAACCGAAGGTTCTTGTGGTACCTTTTCCCTTGAAAGCACTGTAGACGCGTCCGGAACTTGGGCCATGGCTTTTCCTGGAACGTCTCTTCAGGACGCTCCGCTACCATGTGAAAAGCAGAGCTTCAGCGCAGACTGCTTTTTCCGTTCGCACTTGAGCCAAACACGTCAGTGTTCAGCTACACTGTCTTTGGTCAGCAAAGGTGCTCTCTCCAAGAGCAAAGGCTTCAAGTCTTCAAACGACATCTCAACTTTGTTTAGACAAAGGAGAAGACAAAAGTAACATGCAAAACATCTTGGTTACTGGTTCAGGACTTCAGGTCTGTTGCAAAACATTCAGCATGCTCTCAGAATGCCTCAGTCGAGTGTCAAACGGTCACGACACGGTACGAACGACGGAGCAAAGCACACGGAGTGAGTAACGGCCAAAGTCTGTTCCTCAGAGCTTTGTTTCAGCACTTCCAGATGACTCTCAGGTCAACTTCTGAGAGCTAAAAGCCTCTCTGTGCTTCTCAAACTCATCATCGGACTTGCAAACCAAAACATGTCAAGTCAAAGCACCTTCATGTCATGCAACATGCTTGAAGACCTTCGCAGTCTATTTGCTCTCTCAACTCTGGATGTAAGCCAAGTGGGTGGAGTGCAAGCTGGAAATGGCCTTGGTGAAGGCAACTTCCAAGCCATCTTCTTGGAGATGCTAAGGCAGCAAAGTCAGGCCCACCAGCAGAACCAGCAGTTGATAGCTGCCCTCATGAGAAGAATGGATTTGGAAGAGAAGCGTCGAAATGAGGCTGAAGAGAAGGCAGCGGAGACCGCACGTTTGGTTGCGGAGGCTGCAGCTAGAGCCAAGACGGAAGACCCGTTTGCAGCTGCACCGAGCACACCTTCTGTGTCTTTTGCAGGAGCTACCTCGTCTTCGAGCTCTGTTCGAGCCCATTGGTGCAGAATAGAGCGGAGAAGTACCTTCCATCTCTGCCGATGCTAGAGCATCAAGGCATGAACAAGGGCAGGATGCGAGAAGTGGAGACGTGGCATGCCTACTTGGAGACACTGTCATCGTGGCTTGCTCTTCAAGATGAGTCTTTCGTTCGAGAGTTGCAACTCTGCGTCAAGCAAAAGAATGAGATCCTTCAGAAGGATTTGGCGGATGATGTTGCTGCTCGAAGTGCGAAGCTTTACTACTATCTCACCTAATCTCTCTCACGTTGGGAAAGAGGTCAGGAGTTGCTACGCTCGTGCTCGAAAAGGCAGTCTCTGAGTGCCTGCGGATACGAGGCAGTGAGGACCATCACGCAGCAGTACAGCATCGTGTCTCGCATGGAAGCTGTCCACGTGCGGGAGCAGTGCCTCAAGTTGGCAACTACGTGCCAGCATCAACGACGGCCGACAGACCTCATCCGTCACTTGGAGGACGAGTTTTCTCGTGCCGAGTCCAAGCTTGGGAACTTTCCAGAGTTGCGTCTCACGGAGGCTGACCGCTGCAGTGTTTTGCTGCAAGCTCTGAGCCAGGAGCTCAGACAGTACGTCGTTCTTCATGGAAAGAGCAACGACTGGACATCGCTGAGCGATAGCCTTCGGTACTATGAGGAGCAGCTTCGTCTGTGTGAGGGTCCTTTTTTCTCAAATCGGCAGATGTCAGGAAAGGGTGACAAGCTTTGTGACCACTGTAGACGAAAGGGACACCTGGCTAAGAACTGCTGGAGCCGTCAGCGTGAAGCCGGTGAAAAGGGCAAGAAGGGCGACAAGGGCAAGAAGGGTGATGGCAAGGGAGCGCAGAATCCCAAAGGAAAGCCACGCTCTCCAACGCCGAAAGGCGGAAAAGGCGGCAAAGACAAGGAGCAGAAGTCCGACAAGCCTGATAAAGGCAAGAGCAAAGGCAAGAAGAAGAAGAAGGCTAGAGCCCGGGCTCTGGGAGAACCAGAGTCCGAGGCAGAGTCCGAGTCTTCGAGGACCTCCACCGTGATGGCGATGAGGTTTGCGAAGCCTTCTGCTGGACGAGAAGTACTGAGCCAGCCTGAGCCTGAGAAGCCTAAGCCCGTAGAGGCAGTCCCTAGACCGGTCGCTGTAGGGCCGAAAGTCACTGTAGATGAGAAGGTAGGCGCCCTGACTGGAAGCACCTCGAAGGGAGATGCGGCATACGTCTGCGCTTCGCTGCAGGTAGAGCATCGTGATGTGTGGCTGGTCGATAGTGGAGCCACATGCCACATCGTCTCAGCAGATCATCTGTCAGGATTTCGTGTCTGCAGGTACCATGATCGCACGGTGACGCTCTATAGTGCCTCAGGAGACATCATAAACGTATCGAATGTCGTTGATCTTGAAGTTCGTTTCGGCGACGTTTCGTTGACGTTGGAGGACGTCCTTGTGGCGGACGTGCCTTTTAATGTGGTATCTCCGTGGTCCGCGTCGGAACGGGGCTGGAAGACGCACCTTGCGCGCACCGGGTCTCGCATTTACAAGGGTGGAAAGAAGAATGTCCGCCTGGTTGGGGCGAAACGGGCCTGGTGGGCGATTAGCGGAAAGAAGCAGAAAGCTCCTAAACGCCCATCCAAGGGATCGGACATGGAGATCGACTCTCTTCCTGTTGACAAGGAACCCAGGAAAGACATTACTGCAGGACCAAGCATCCTGAAGAAGACTTCGAAAGAAGTGAAGAGTGATGAGAAGCCTGGAAAGGACGAGAAGTCTATCCGCCATGTCTTGACGGGAACGCCGTTTGAGTCCCTGGAAATTCCTGAAGAACACGCCGTTAGGAAACCGCACGACATGATCTGTGCTAGAAAAACGGATGTCCTGAGTGGTGATAGGAGCCTGTGTTCCGAAAGTCTGGTTAGGAAACTGCATGATTCTGTTAGGAAATGCCATGTTTTTGTCAGACAGCAACATGATTTTTGGCAGCGGCATGTGTGCGCAGTTTGGAACGTGATGTTTTTGCTGGCATGTCTTGTGAAGGGGTTGTGTCTGAAAGGCTTTTCGCTTCTGATCGTCGGCAGTGAAGGTTTGAGGTGTGCCCTTAAAGGAAGTGAGTGCCCCAAAGCAACCGAGCCAAGCATGTTTTGCATTAGGAAGCCCAAAAGACCTCAAAAAGGCTTGAAGTGCGCATGTTTGTCCGCAGCCATTTTGCTTGTTTGCGTGTCTTGGTTTTCCCTGAGGGAAGGTGCTGAGCATGTCGGAACCTCGAATGGAGGTGGAGCAAGATTCCCACAACTCTCCAGCGGAGAGTACCGGGCAGGAGGTTGTGTTTTTGAATGCACCCGTAGAGCCTGCACCAGCAGAGGCGGCGCCAGCCGAGACTGCGGACGCAGGGGCTTCAGTTGCCCCCTTCAATGTTTTCTCGAGGCCTCCGAGTCAAGTTGCAGTACCTTCGCCTTCGGTGGCTGCATCAGAGACAGGAGAAACGGAAGAGGAGGAAGCATGGGGAAGATGGAGGGCTCAAACGGTGGCATCCACAAGCAAGCCTTCGCAGCCATCAGACGAGCCGCCTCTGATAGTGAAGTGGAGAAGCATGCTGAGGGGGCCGCGCTACAGGTATTTTATGCAAGCGATACGACAACAGCGAGAAGATCTGATTGCATGTGGATACCCTGTGCCGGCAATTCCAGAGAACGACCTGGAACCTGCAGTTCCACTTATGTCTATCGGAGATGGACTCGTTTATTCTTCCCGCCAGGGGACCATCTTTGCGTCATTGACAGATGCTTTGATGACCGACGGCTACCTCCTCGAGGTTGGACAGAAGCGTCCAGACCCAGGTGTGGGACCGTGCCTGGGAACGGGGTGGTCCAAGAGGCTTCGCGATCACGATCCCGATCCTCTGGATGGAACGCCCTACATCAGCGCAGAGGTTGCGTGGGCGCTGTGGCTGCCCGAGTTTCCGGAAGCCCCGGATCATGGAGGGATCCTTCCGGTGAAGAGAAAGAGGGATTTTTCCCAGCTCACCGACGAGTTGTTGGACGAGCATACTACAAGGTTCGAAATCGCGGGTCAAGGCCGCACTCTTCATCAACGCGGCGTGCGTGCAAGGGACGCGCGTGCCGCTATCGAAGGGTATACTCCCGATCCAAGTCACCTACGCCACCAGAGTGGCGGGGACGTGGCTGCGCTGGGTTACATCAAGCGTATCCTCAAGGTCCTGACCGTTTACGAGGCCATGCCGGAAGCGGAACGCAACCTTTTGGCTGGAATGTATCCAGACGACGTCGAGCTCCAGCTCGAGTGGGTGCCAGGCTCAGCCATCAGGCATGGGTGGCGTGCGTTAATGGGGGCAATGGATCAGCGCACCCGGCGCGATATCGAGTTCGAAGCAGTGGTCCGAAAACGGGAGGACTTGCAGTCCGCTCGACCCAAGGTCAAGGCCAGAAGGACGGCTGCAGCTGCTTCCACAGATACTGGAGGTGGAATTGGAGCGATGGACGAAGGCTCGGAGACTGGAGCGATGAACGAAGGCTCGGAGCCTGGAGCGATGAACGAAGGCTCGGAGACTGGAGCGATGAACGAAGGCTCGGAGACAGAGTCTGCAGAGTCATCCTCGGCAAGTTCGTCGGACGAATCGATTCCAATGGGGGAATACATGATGCAGAGCCGGACCAGAGTTTTGGCGCTCATCGAAGCGGAGAAAGCCTTGAAGGATGTGGGCTCCTCTGCGCCGCCCCCACCGTCTCCTATCATTATGGAGCCATCGCCGGTCGCGACGGACGGGTACAAGTTCGATCCAGCAGCCCTAGGAACCCCTCAGGGGGACACTGCGGCTCCTTCGACACCGGTGCCTCCTTCGCCTTCCGCAGTTTCATTGGCCCCTTTGGAGTCCTTCAAGTTCTTGGATGTTCCACCTGTTGCTCCTCCTGGTCCCTCGGGCCACAGTGTGGAGCCGATGGTGGTGGAAAAGGAGCGGGAAATTCCAGGTGCTCTGTCGAAATCCAAGGCAGCACCAGCGGGGGCTACACCGAAGGCCTGGTCTGTGGTCCCAACTTCCTCGCCTTTGACGGTTCCAGAAGCGCCAGTGGCTGTAGAGTCTTTGCCTGCAGTTCCAGAGCCTACCTCCGAGACCGCTACATCATCCGCAGCGGGTGCCCTTCCGCCTCCGGGCGGCTTGGGTCAAACAGCCGAAGAGAGGGAGTTTGTGCTTCCTTCCCCTGGACAGAAGAAGTGAAGGCCTTAAAGGCTGTGCGGAATTCTTCCTTTTGTGGAATTGTTTCTGAACGCGCCGATCGCATGTCTTGCGCGTTGGAAAAACACCGTGTCTTTCAGGCTTGTTTGGATTTGGAAAGAAGCATGAGTGAAGCAGTTGAACAGACATGTTGCTGTGTGAGACTTGCTTGGTTAGGAGTGTGCGAGCTTGAAGGTCCCTTGAAGAGAAGCCCAAAAGAACTTCGATCTTCTCGGCAGTACCCTCAAAGATCCGAAATACCCTCAAGTCCGCGTTTAACTAGCCCGAAAGAACGTCGATCTTCTAAGCAGTACCCTCAAAGATCCGAAATACCCTCAAGTGTGAACCTCAGAAGCGCCACGAACCCAAACCTCCTGAACATGAGTCATGACAGACCCCTGCCGGCCAGGAGTGCTTTGTTTTGCATGCCAGGAGAAGCATTGGATGTTTTCGCTTGCTTGGCGATCTATGTGATAGCAAGTCTCTTGGGGGGTTCGTTCTGGTTAGGGTTTCGATTCTTGAAGATGTGTTTGAAAAGGTTTCGAGGAGTTGGTGACTACCCTCAACTTGTATCCCGAAAGTACCGTTTACACCATCGTCGTAAAGGAGTCCGAGTGCGAATCAAGACTCGTTTCTGTTATGTTCGAGTTGATGTAGAACGTACTCTGGTCTTTAGCAGGCACGTTGTGAAACCAACTTGGAGCTCAGGTTTTAAAGCCTCTTTGAAGTTCGCATGTAAGGCCATGTGCTTGGGCCTTTGTCTCGACAGGAACTTGTGGAGCTTGTTGGTGTGCATGGCATGGTGTTGTGCTTGGAGTGTGTGTGGTTGTTGTTTGTTGAGAAGAAAGGGCGATGATGAAAAAGGGAGCAGATCCACTTCTGAGCACAGCCACTTGAGAGTTGTGCGTGGACTGCCCCTCCCCGGTAAGGGGACGCAAGCTGAGCCCTTAGAACTCGATAGTGACATGCCACGTTCTTCAGAGAGAGAAGAGAGAGGAGAGAAAGAGAGTCCGCTTCCGAAACCTCAAGGTGTTGAACCACCGAAACCCCCGGAACCGCCTGGAGGTGCAGAAGTTTCAGAGAGGATACCTCTGCGAAGTGTGGCTTTGCAAGTGCATAGATCCAGAGGTCATTTTCCTTATGATGTGAACTGTGAGGCCTGCACCTCGAGTAAAGGGAAGGTTCCTGCGAGACTGTAAAGTTTTTCTACTACCTGGGAACCCCACCTACCAACCCAAAGGGTTGATGAGCATGTGTGGATTTGTGACTCATGTTTTACCGACAGCGCCTTTACTGGTTCAAGGAAAAAGAGCGACTTGAAGTTTAGCATGGTAGCGGAGCACACTGTGCATCCGGGACCGAAGCCATGCCTCGTGGCCGTGATGATGGTTTGGGTTGGAACCCTGATGCTGTGGAGCCAATGGAGCTCACAGAACCTACAGAGCCCATGGAACTCACAGAACCCATGGAGCCAATGGAACTCACAGAACCCATGGAGCCGATGGAACCCGCAGAGCCCATGGAAGAAGGGGAACAAGAAGAAGAAATGGAGCCACGAAGAAAGGAGATCAAGATTCACCGTGTTGGCATGGGAAAAGGCTACGGATCTTCAGCAAGCAGTTCAGCTGAAGGAAGTGGAAGTGCACCAAGGTATATGCCTCCAAAGCCGAAGAAGAAGCCCGAACGACCAGTGGTGGAAGGAAGAGATTACATTCCCTTGGAAGGGGGAGAACCAGACGGGCCAGTGGAGATCGGGAGTCCTAGTTCCTCTAGCCCCGAAACTACAATGGTGTACCAAGAGGCACCACCTACACCAAGAAGGGAGCCGAGAACACTTTCGTCTGGGCACATCGCCTTGGAGCTGCAAGAGCAGCAAGTGTCTGCTGAGCAACGCAGGCGAAGGCAGCTGGAGAGACTCTCTGCACTCGCAGCAGAGACGGAAAGGATCCAACGGCGAGCAAGGGAACGAGCCTTGCAGGAACCAGTTCGGTTTCCAAAGTCAGGAGGGCCACCGCCACCAGCGGGCCCAGAACCAGAGCAAGCTCCAGAGTGTCCACCGCCAGGAGAAGAACGAGCTCCAGAGTGTCCACCTCCGGACCCAATGCCGTGTGGTACGAAACTTCCTCTTCACACGCTGGACGGGGAACCCAGCAACGCAGCAGTGGCGGAACACATCCGCCGGAATGAGGAAGAGTATGCTGCAAGACGTGCCGGTGCAATTCCTTCAGGAGACGAAGCAAGAGCCAGGGAATCCAAGGAATTTGCTCGTGGAGTTGCATACTTTCGAGCCAGGTACGGCCAGCGAAGCCAAAGCAGTGGAACAGCGAGTTCCAGCCGAGACACGGGGCCTGGGACCCTACAACCCAGGACGGGACCTGGGACCCTACAACCCAGGATGGAAGATGCGAGAAATGAGCCAGGGAGCAGTTCCAGAGGACCACCTCCGAAGGAACGACCTGCTGGAAGCAAGGCGCCACCTCCAGAGCCAAAGGGACCACCACCGAAGCGAGGGGGAGCAACGCAAGCCACTACGCTCTACCCGAATTCTCCTTGGAGGAGAGCAGAAAGGAGGAGAATGCGAGAAAGGGGCGAGGAGCCAAACCCTGGAAATGAGGAAGATGAATGGGGAGATTGGTCAGGACGATGAGGTCGACTACCAGAAGGAGAAAGCAGAGATCGACTACCAGAAGGAGAAAGCAGAGATCGACTACCAGAAGGAGAAAGCAGAGATCGACTACCAGAAGGAGAAAGCAGAGATCGACTACCAGGAGGAGAAAACAGAGATCGACTACCAGGAGGAATCAAAATTCTATGGCCTATGTACAAACAAGAGCCTCTACTCCGACAAGACTATGAATGGAACAAGAGATCCATTGGTGATGTGGATTTGGACCAGTATTCCAGGAGCAAAGAACCTCTACGACCCCAAGACTATGCAATTCGATTGCAATGGAGCAATGGCAATGATGCTTATGCTTGGAGTATCAGGTGCGATCATGTTGTGCATTGGATGTTTGCAAGCGACAGTGCATTTGCAGTCATGTCGTCAGTCATGTTTGTGGAGATTGCAACATTCATGTTTTCGGAGGCGCTTGAGCAGAGGGGCACGGAGAGATCACTTGCGTTCGTGTGCTTGTGTGAGAAAACAACAGAGAGGAGCGATGCTGTGTGTGCTTGTCGTGTTACAGTTTTCTGCAGTGCAAGGGATGCAGCAGAATGGACCACCCCAACAACCCACAGAACTTTCTGAAATTCTGACTGCATTGACAAGGGCGACCCAAGTTGGAATGAGTGCGCTACAAAGGTTGGAGCAACAAGCAAGCAGTTCGGATGATCTGAACCGAAGGATTGAAAGTGCGACAAAGGCGATCAAGGCACCAGATGTTTGGAACCCACAAGCCTCGGGAGAGCATCCACCGGATTTTACAACCTGGAAACATCAGTTTCTGAATTGGCTAGGTTTTGCCGATTCGCAGTACTCAGAAGCTCTAAGTATGATTGAAAGTCTGGGAGCAACGCCGATCGATGTTTCGACTCTCACTACAGTGGAGAGAGAACTTTCGACAAAGCTTTACCACATACTGACTTCGTATATGCGGGGAGCAGCAACGCAACTGTCTCGAAATTGGAGCAGGGAGCGATGTGGGTATCGTCTCTATCAAAGTTTGCTTTGGGAATACCAACCAGCCACCAAACAACGAGCTCTAACCCTCAGTCAAGCGATTGGGATGTTTCCCAACTTCGATGGGGCCAAGAGCATGGTGGAGCAGATTGGTTCACTGGAAAACCTTGTTCGGGAGTACGAGATCGCTTCAGGAAAGACCTACGATCGAGATTTGTTGATGGGAGTTTTGCTTCGATGTTCACCGAGGGCGATTCGAGACCACCTTACTTTGACAATGCCCGAAGGAACAAACTACATGTCAGTGAAGCAAGCGATTCTTTCATACGAACAAAGCAGCAAAACTTGGGATTACCAGACGGTGTTGAAGCAAAAGACCTTGCAGAACACAGCGAGCAGTTCAAATGCAGATCAAGGACCAGCACCAATGGAAGTGGATGCAGTGTACGAGAAAGGAGGAGGAAAAGGAAACAAAGGCAACAAAGGAAACAAAGGAGGAAAAGGATCCTACTCGTGGTCAAGCTTTGGAGCAGGATTTCGCCAATGGAGAAAAGGTGGACGAAAAGGAAGCTACAAAGGAGGAAAGAAAGGACGAGGCAAAGGTTTCCACAAAGGAGGAAAGAAAGGCGGAAAGAAAGGTGGAAAGCATGGCAAAGGAGGAAAGAAAGGTGGAGGAAAGAAGTTGGACAGAGATGTTTGCCGATTCTGCAAGCAGCGAGGACATTGGGGAAACGAGTGTCCAAACCGCAATGTTCGAGAAGTGCAGGCGAGCGAGGCCAGCACCGAGGTACCCCACTCGACAGTCGAGTCTGTTACTCCGTCGCAGAGTGCGAGCCAATACAGGATAAGGAGAGTGAGGAACATTGATTTCCATCACATTGCGAACACACCACCTGACGGCACAGAGCACTATGAGCTTAGCGAAGTTTCAGAAGAAGAAGGTGATTGGTTCACCAGAAGGATAGAGGTGCAAGGACCAGAGTGCTACTACATCGGGGATGAGAGTGAGAACAAACAAGATCATGAGAGTGATGAGCTGTATCAATGGTATGAAAACAGCTTGGAAAGAGTTCAAGGAGGATTGGGACCTCCAGGAGGATTGGAACCTCTGAATCAAGGAGGATTGGAACCTCTGAGTCAGGGAGGATCGGAACCTCTCAATGTGCGAATGGTCCAGTTGGACACAAAGCAACATGTGGTGATCTTGGATTCAGGAGCAGATGTGAGTTTGTTACCACGAAGATTGTCGGATGCAGGCGTCGAAGTTTCGACCCCAACCTCTCTGAGGTTGCAAGACGCACAAGGGGGTGCGATGCGAGTTGAAGGTATGCGGCGAGCAGTTTTGCAGTTCAGTAGCTGCAGTGTGACTGAGGACTTTGTGTTGTCGGACACCAATAACATCTTGCTGTCTTTAGGAAGGCTACTCAAAAATGGATGGAAGTTTGTGTCAGTGGGATGCAAACAGCGCCAGGGGGGCGAGACCTGGGGAGAAGAAACCCAGGCGGGGGAACTTGTATCTCCCGATGGTAAGGCACGGGTGCCTGTGGAATACCAGAGGAATAGCTTGAGATTGACAGCGGAAGTTAGAGGAGTCGAGCAAGTCAGGGCAGTCAAGGTGACTTTGGCCTATGACTTTGGTAAAGTCCCAGAGAAGGATTGGAGCCTTCTACCGAATGGAACGCCAGTCCATCGCCATTTTGGACTTGAGTTTGTAAAGCCGCCGACAGGTACTTGGAAGTACAGGACCACCATCGTGAAGGTGGGCAACGAATGGGAAGTGATTGAAGCAACGGAATTGCTCGAGCGAAAATCCGACTTGGAAGATCGAATACCGGGATTGCTTTTTCGATCAGAAATTCTCACATTCTTGCACAGGACACCAGAGTATCTGGACAAGTGCTTGGTAGAAGAGGTAGCACCAGAAGAAGCACCAAAGGAGGAAGAAAAGAAGATGGAAGAGGAGCCAGAATGGTTTGGAAGAGAAAGAGGAGCTCCAGAAGAGTTGCAGGTGCCAGTGCCGAAAGGAGTTGTGAAGCAGCAAGGAAAGGCAGGAGGACACCAAGAGTTGGAACTCGACATGGGAAGTACTATTGTGGTGAATGGAGAGTCACTCACAGCAACGAGTGAGATTGAGAAGCTGCGAGAAGGTTGTCGGTATTTGGGTTTGAGCGTCTCAGGGTCAAAGGTGAAGATGTTCAGGAGACTGTGCAACTACCTCACCGAAGACAGAGATGAGGACGCAGAAGAAGTTGCAGACAGGCTGAGGAAGCAAAGGCCCAAAGCAAGAACAAGACCCGGAGTGCCCGAACCGACAGAAGCAGAGATTGAAGAGCATATGGCAACCCACATGCCAATGCAACCATGGTGTGATTTCTGTGCAGCAGCAAAGTCGAAACAGGACCATACCCCACAAAGCAGTGAAGCAAAGTATGAAGACCCAGGAAAGCCAGTGATCCAGATGGACTTCATGTACATGGGTCAGAACAGTGTGAGTCTGATCATTCTTGATTCATGGACTCGATTTTCGTGGGCGATTCCAGTGCCGGGGAAAGCACCGACGAAGAAGTTGGCCGAGAAAGTGGTGAAGTTTTCTCTCGAGATGAACTACATTTCCGAAGAAGTTCTGTTTGCGATTGATGTGGAGCCAGCGACAACAGCCTTACTGGATTTGATTGTAGCAATACGACAAAAGTTAGGCTACAAGGCTGGAAAGTATCCAAACAAGCCCTACCACAAAGGAAGAACAGCGAGAGTGGAACGCCACATTCAGAACCTCAGGAGACAAAGCCTCACGATGATTGAAATGGTCGAGGATCGGATTGGGGAAAAGATTCCTGAAGATCATGCTTTACGAGCGTGGGCAATTCACCACGCAGCATGGTTGTTCAACAGGTACCACCTACACTCAGGGACGCAGAGTACAGCTTTCCAATTGGTCTACGGGAGACCATACCAAGGGCAGATTTTACCCTTCGGAGAGTATGTGTTTGGTCTGGCCAAGCCTGGAGGAGTGAAGAATCGATCCTTGTGGACAGGAGGAATATGGGTTGGAAAGGACGACCGGGACATGGACGTGATTACATCAAAAGATGGGATCTTTACGTCAAGATCTGTGCGGCGCACACAACCAGCGTGGCGCGCACGTGAGACCCTTCAACTTCAGGGTTCTCCTTGGACGAAGAAAGCCCCAAGGCTAGGGCGCACCGCGCATGCGGCACCGTTACCGAGAATCATGGAAGAACCAGGCAGAGAGAAAGAAGGAGGAGAAAATGAGCCAGAGCCAGCAGGAGATGAAGCAGGATCTGATGTGGAAAGTTCAAAGCATGACACAATCAGTGATCTATTGCTGAGCAGTGGTCAACCTACACCTCGAAGTTCATCAACGGATTCCAACCAAGGCGGGGGACAAAAGAGAGAAACTGAAGGAGAAGGAAGAGAGGAACCTGCGAAAGCTAGTAAAACAGCAGATGCTGAGGAGCCACCAACGAAGCAACAAAAGACTGCGGAAAGTTCACCTACAAGTGCTGATCCTGGAAGTCCGAAAGGAAGTCTATTTCCACCGTTGTACGCCGGACAGGTAGAAGAACAGGAAGACGAAACAGGATATCATGAAGATGACCTTTGGGAAGAAAGAGTCTGGAAGGAATGCGAAGAGGAATATGAAGCGGATAGTGAAGGAGAAGAAGAAGATGAGGATCGACCACCGAAAGTCAGCGAAGAGGAACTTGAAAGATTGGATGCAGAGGCAGGAAAAGCTGAACTTGACAAACTCGCCAACATGAAGGTTGTGAAGACGATCAAGAAGGAAGAGTGTTCAGAGGAAGGTAAGTTTCTGACACTAAGGACAGTTTTCGATTGGAGAAAGAGAGATGGAGTTTGGAAGCGTAGATGCAGAATTGTGTGTCGGGAATTCCGTGCGGGAGCCCAGAGCACGGAGGAGACTTTTAGTCCTACGTCAGGACACGCAGCAGTGCGAATGATGTTTCTTTTTCATCTCATCTACAATTGGGAGCTTACAGTTCTTGACATTCGTGACGCATTCTTGCAAGTCAAGCAGAAAGCTCTGATGTATGCTGATATCTCACCGTGGATTCGAACACTACTTGGTTTGGATGAAGACCATGTATGGAAAGTGGAGAAGTGTCTGCCAGGGCAAAGATCAGCGGCAGAACAATGGTTTACCCATTTGGTTGAGATTTTGAAGCGTTTGGGATTTGAGCAATTTGTTGGGATACCCTCAATCTTGAAGCACCGAGTGAAGAAGATTGCAGTGTCGATTCATGTCGACGACGAGCTAGTTGCAGGTGCGAAAGGCGAAGGAAGATGGCTGATATGCGAGCTAGAGAAGTTTTTCAAGCTCACAGTTGAGGGACCGTTCCCATCCCACCGGGGATCGGGAGAACAGCTTCATTACCTGAAGAGGACCTATGAGTTCCTTGAAGAAGGAATTTTGGTGACAGTGTCGAAGAAGCACTACGAGAAGCTTAAAGGACTCTACAAGCTGGGGAACCGAAAGCCAAGACAAACCCCAGAGCACCAGCTGATTGGAACAGTGGACAATTCCAAAGAACTGGAGGAGAACGAGTGCAAGAAGTTTCGTTCAGCGTTGGGAACACTGTTGTACATTTCTCAAGACCGATGGGATTTACAGCATGTGACGAAGTGTTTGGCAAGTAAGATGTCGAAGCCAACGGAACAAGCGTTAACCTGTTTGAAACAAGCTTTGCTCTATGTGCAAGGAACAGAGCAACTGGGATTCCTACTGAAGTACACAAAGGTTGGAAACAAGATGCTGGATGCGATCTATCAAAGAGAAGAGCAAGAAGAAGAAGACGAAGAAAAGAAAGGAACACACAGTATGGAAGTATTCACGGATGCAGATTGGGCATCAGACCGTGAAGCGAGATGGTCTACATCATCAGTGATTGTGTGTGTGAATGCAGTGCCAGTACTTTCGTATAGCAGGACCCAGAAAGCTACAGCTTTAAGTTCGGCAGAGTCCGAAGTGCTAGCATGCTCAGGAGGAGCATCAGAAGCGATGTTACTGAAGAAGTTGTGGATGTTTCTTGCAGGAAAGTTACTCGTGGAGATCCGGATGGATTCAAGTGCGGGAAGACAATGGATGATGCGAACAGGAGTCGGAGGACTCAAACATATCGATCTGAGAGTATTATGGCTTCAGCGAGGGGTGAAGAACAACAGCTTCAAAGCAAAGCCAGTGCCTACCAAATTAAACATTGCCGACTTGAATACAAAGCGCTTAGGAGTATCTCGAAGGAGATTTCTCATGTACCATATTGGAGCCATGGTGTGGAATGGAGAAAGTCATGAGCGTTATGGGAAAGAAGAAGCAATGGAACATGTGGCAGGTGAAGTTTGCCGAAGCCAAGTTCGAGCACTACGTGCAACTTTGTTGAATGAGCGAGGAAGCAAGACGGCTAGAGCGATGTACTTGACAATGATGGTGAATATGATTTCTCAGATTGCAGGACAGCCAGACGATTTTGGAGGACGAGAACGAGAAGAACGAGAATTTGTTTTCATCTATGTGAAGGAAGTGAGTGGATGGATTATTCTTTTCAGTGTGCTACTAGGAGGAATTTTCGCTTGACTCTTGTTCTACATGGTCGAGCAGAAGGTGAACAAAGGACGACAGGAACCACAGGAAGAAGGACCACAGGAACCACAGGAAGAAGGACCACAGGAACCACAGGAAGAAGGACCACAGGAACCACAGGAAGAAGGACCACAGGAACCACAGGAAGAAGGACCACAGGAACCGCAGGAAGAAGGACCACAGGAACCGCAGGAGGAATTCACTATTCGAAGATTTGTGCAAAAGTATTGTCCGCCCGATGAGGATGATGTTCAACGTACAGCAAGGGCAGTCAATATGTATTTCCGTGATGCACCAGAGGATTCAGCGACAGGCAGTGGTAATGGGATGCCTGGAATCAGTACAGTACCAGCAAGCCAAATCCATGTGAATGACGAAGAGCTTGCAAGGCGATTACAAGAATGGGGAATGGTTAATATCATTCCTATGGCACAGGATGTGGACGAACAGCTACGAGCACAACCCCAGTATGTGTACACGCCTCATGGCAAGAGGTACCACCGACCTACATGTGCAGATGTGCAAAGGTCAGAGAGATTCACTTACAGTGCAGCAGTGCATGCGAGATTGCACTACCGTCCTTGTGGCAATTGCAGGCCCGGGACCATGTGAGTGAATGATGGAATGTTTCACTTTTCCGTACAGTGTGAGCTACAGCGAGTACAAGCTTACCTGAGCGAAGTGTTACCCACGAGGAAGCAGTGGGAACAGTTTTCACCGAGTGCAAGGACTCCAATAGGGAGAGCACAACGAGGCCATCGCACAATACCAGATGAGCCCAACGACATACCTGTACAGTTTCTACATACCCGTTACTGTAGAGTGATGTTGAGCTTACAGTTCGCACAACATCAAGGCGGGGTGTAAAGTTTTTCTACTACCTGGGAACCCCACCTACCAACCCAAAGGGTTGATGAGCATGTGTGGATTTGTGACTCATGTTTTACCGACAGCGCCTTTACTGGTTCAAGGAAAAAGAGCGACTTGAAGTTTAGCAGAGACGCTTGCGAAGGCGTTTGCAACGCGAGGACCAGACGATTGGAATGGATTTCTACTACTTTGGTCGTCTTCGTGTGCTGCTTCTTGCACACTGTTCTTCGAACTATACCACGGCCATCCCGGCCATGAATTTGGATGATCCGGATCTGTTTTACAACATTGGACGAGTGATTCGCGAAATGGGTCTTGTGAATAAAATGGTCACAGTGAGATGTGATCAGGAGTCGGCTTTGATGTCTTTAGCCGAAAAATTGACTACCCGTACAGGTGATGTAGCTGTTTCTGGCGTCATTGTGGACGTCGTGCCCGGGTATCGCCCTCAGTCAAAAGGCGCTATTGAAAGACAAGTAGAAACTATGAAGCAGGGATTTTGGGCAGTGTGGTTAGACTTGGAGAGAGAAGTTGCGCGGAATTCCGCGCCGGAAGACTGGAACAAGAAGCTTCCGCTGGGAGGAATGCTCTGGCAAGCTTGTGTCCTTTACAGTGCCAGGTGCTACAACCTCTGGAGCTTTAGTCACCAGGACGTGACTACGCCCATTGACCGGCTGCACGAGGAGATTGTGCATCGTACGAGGACCCTGCCGTTTGGATGTCTTGTTTACGCTAAAGTAGGGGGCTCAAAAGCGCATCAACAGAAGTACAGGGGAAAGAAAACAGTGAAAGCTGTGTATCTAGGGCCTAAAGAGCCTAGAGGGGGCGGTATCTTTGCTGCTCCATTGGGTCAGACTGAGATCGATATCTTTCCTGTCTGTAGGGCCTTAGAAGGAGCGAAAGGTGAGCCTGTCTACGACGTAGGGGCCATACACGCTCTGTCTACTTCACAGCCTCTCGTTTTAGACCCAGTGGATCCTGAAAGGCCCATCATGTTTGAGCCACCACCTGATCCGGTGAAGTCAGAAGACCCTGACCCGGGGTTTGAAAACGAAGATGAAGAAATGGTACCAGATGATCCTGATCCTCTGAATGATATTCCGTCTTACGTGGAACCCACAGATGATGAGGGGGAAGGCGGACTTGGGTCACCGGAAATGCAGCCGGATGACCTGGAGGACATGGAAATTGACTGGCTAACTAACCATCTGTTAGAGTCTTTGTTCAAAGGACCGGACATTCTGGCCACGTCTAAAGAAGTAGCTGATTCGTTTACTCTCAAATTCGGAGGGAGTAAGATCAAGTGCCAAGTACCCCGAAACGCCGTTTCTGAGACCTCAGGTGAACAGTTAGACCCTGAACTTTTGTATGCTTCAATGAAGTTGGAGCTTGAGGAACTCGAGTCTTTTGGAGTAGGAAAAGTGATCTCTGAAGCTGAGGCCCGTAAGTCGGCGCGAGAGAGCGGTCGGAGGGTTCTCACGAGCAGGTGGGTTAACACGATCAAACGTAAAGGTCTTTACCGTTCCCGCCTCGTTGTTAGAGATTACGCTTCAATGGGAGGCACGACGCTTTCAGAAGGCATCTACAGCCCGACTACGAGTTTAGAGGGTTTAAGGCTTCTTTTGGCATTGCTTTGCAAGAAGGGCTCCGTGTTGAGCTGTGACGTGAGCGTGGCTTTCATGCACGCTGCAGTGTCAAGGCCAGAGTACGTAGAGCTCCCAAACAACGTGAGTATTGCGGACTCTTCTGTTCCCCAAAAGGCAGGAAACAAGAAGGTGTATCTTCGTCTTCACAAAGCGATGAACGGATTGAGATCGGCACCGCTTTCTTGGTATAAGAGCCATTTCGCGAATGCGATAGTGCTTTATCGTTTAGGATTGGCAAATTGTTTTTCTACCTGGGGTAGAAAAAGAAATCTCTTTGAAACGTTGTCTTTATATTTTCACGTTCACGTACATGTCTGTAAGAGCAAGGTTTGGTACCTGCATCTTTTGGATTTGTACTTTTCTTGCCAACATGCGTAACAGCTTCTCAGTGCTTGTTGCGTGAGTTGTGAACATGTGTGGCATGTTTGTCGCTCAAGCTTGGGGCTTGAAAATTTTTCAGTGTGTGGGCCTACTGCTTTTGCTTAACTTTGTGAGGCCTCAAACAGGTTTGCTTCCGAACAGGCCTGGCCAACAAAGGGAACTGCCACTAGGGCACGTGCAAGCCAGCCCGTGGGGCGGTGGATGGAAAGACGCGTTTTGCGGCATCGTGCTGCATCTGCCCGGCACTTTCTCGTGCTTCAGCCACAGTGTGCAAAGGCAGGGTTTGCTCCGAGCTTCCTTTCCTGCTGCTGTGGTTTTTGTCTTGGCGTGCTCTCTTTCCTGGCCTTGCTTCTTTTGCTGTGAAGCATGCCTGTGGCATTCCGTGTCCTCGGCCTCCTGGTCTGTTTGTCCTACTGGTGTAGCCAGGCGGTGCGAGACCCCTCCGGCCCTTTCAGCGGCCCGTATACTGATAGCGAGGCACCAGACCGTGATGGCATCGAGGCTGAAGTTGCATTGTGGGCTGAGCATCCCTCTGCTCTGGCGTCTGAGTCAGCACCGTTGACGCCCTTGGACCTCTCCTTGCCATACCTGCGGAGCCTTATTTCTGGAATGATCCCTTTATCTGCCGCATTGCTCCAGCATGCTACTGTTGCTGAGCTGCAGCACCTATGCCGTGTGTGCCTGCAAGCCGGTCGCCACTCTTGCTTCACGGCCCAAACTGTGTCTTCCCTCCAGGCCTTTGTGCATATGCCTCCTGTTTCTGTCGTTTGGGCTCCGCCCACGCCAGGTCCTTTATGCGGGTCTGCGCCGACGACTCCGGTGCCGCCGCTGCCGTGCTCTGAAGAGGTGATGACTATGCTGCGTGCTCTGGAAGAGCGCCTGTCAACCCTGGAAGAGGTGGTTGGCACCGTGCAATCAAGCCGTAGCCCGCGCCGCAATGTGCTCCGCCGGTTACGAGATTTGGAGAGGTCTTCCTCGTAGTCCCCTGCTTTGCGCGGTGGCTCCTGGCCCGCTGTTTTGATTTCGCAGCTTTTTCATGCGAAACCCTACGCGAGCCTAACATTGACCGAGCTGCACTGTTGCTAGTCTTTTGTGCTGAGCTTCTGGGAAGTTTGTCGGACAGTCCTGTGTTATGTTCCATGCGGATGTAGGCCGTCCGGCGCCTGACTGATCCCTTCTGAGCCCATGTGCAGCATTGTTGTTACGGCTTGCTGCAAGGACCCCCTGCAGCTTCCTCTCCTAGGGCTGAGCTGGTCGTGCACTGCTTGGGCTTGCAGGAGGGATCGTAGAGGGACCTGGGGTGCCTGCTGCTTGGGATGTGCAGGCCTGCTGCTGAGTGTAACTCCTAGGAGGCGGGCGACTGCGAGTGGAGTGTTTTTCTCAGGTGCTGCTCGCTATCTGCTCGAGCAGTGGGAGCGTGAGGCCGGGCCTCTCTGGGTGCTGCATCGTAGACTCTGTGTCTTACGATGGCACCAGGTCACCGGGTGACTTCTTCCTCGCTTTCTTTTTGTCGGGATCTTGGTGATCTTGGCGCTTGCTCTCCTGCTCCTCGGGCCGCCTTTCGGCACCTAGGTCTATCTCTCTTGGTGAGAGTGCAGGACTTGAGCTTTCGCGCCCTTGGCTCAGATTTGTGTGGTGCATGCCTATTTTCTTGCTTTGTCTGCGCTTGCAGGTCGTGATCGCGCCCCTTGCTCCTCGACTTCTTGCTCTACTTTGTGGCCTAAAGGGGGGGTGCGCCTGAGTTTGTGCAATATAGTGATTCGGCTGTGCCCGAACCAAGCATTATGCCACGGTTCTGCAAAGCGTGGCAAAATACTCTCCGGGGCCATATCCTGCAGGCAAAAGTGCTTTGTTTCTGGTGGAAGTTGCATTATGCCACGGTTCTACAAAGCGTGGCAAAATACTTGGGTGCCATATTTTCACAGTGACAGCTTGGAGCACCACTTTGCATCCTCCTGGAGTGACAGCTCTCGAGCACCACTGCATGGTGTGGTAGGTGGCTTGAGCTTCATTTGCATTAGGGGTGGATTTTGGATTC